AATACTTTATTATTTTTTTACTTCATCAACAGAAACATCGATCACAATACCAACCTCTATTATTGTCCACAAAAACAAAAGACATGAGCATGGACGTCTTTGCTTCATGTTCTGTGTGTGTGCTTCAATTAAAGCTGTAGTGTTTTGAATATCCAGAGAACTGCAACAATCAGATGATCAATTGATTAGATTCTTTTATTACGAGAATATTCTCTTGTTCCAGCGTCTTTGACTGTAAATTGAAAATAAAACTTAAAAAGACGGCTCGCAGCTGCCGGTGCGATGACATCGCCCCGAGTCACCACAGTCCCTGTGACGTGAACAGTTGCGCTCTGTAGGAAGTCGTCAGCTGACTCTCCTCCCTGCTCTTACTTTCTCCGTCACTGTTCCTTGTCTGTAATATTTTCTGTAACTAAGACACCAACTGCAGAGGAGACAATCTACTTCCTGGTCCCATCAACACGCAAGTGTTTATCTGACATGCGGAGCTGAAACTCTGGTGTGGACACAGGTCGTCTTCGTTTTAAAGCATGTTGGTGTGGATGAACGTCCGGCTCTGAGCCACAGCAACAAATGTCTCTCAGGGGAAGAGACAGACTGACTGTTGCTGTGGCGACCAGGTAGCTCAAAGTGTTGGTCTGAGTGTACGTAGCTCGAGTCCAGACATGACAACATGCTCGTCAGCGCACCGCAGTGTTTTTACTCTGAGCTGAAGAGAGGAGAACAGAAACGACGAGGAAGAGTCTATAAAAGAGGAGAAGCGAGGGAGTGCCTGTCCTGCACATGGGAAGAGAAGGAGAAACAACAAGGGATTAGAGAAGGAATTGAGATAAACAGGAGGCAGTAAAGGTGGGCTGATAACAGAGGGATGGACAGAAGTCAGAAGGATGGAGGGATTAAAACGTCTCCTCCCTGTCTGACCCCTTTATCTCAGCTGAAAGAATAAAGAGTATTTTCTCTCTCTGTGATAAATCCTGTCAAACATTTATTCAACTACTTTAATTCATGTCTCAAAACAAAACATTTGAGTTTGGAGTTTTTATTTATTTGTATATATTAAATGTCCTCAAGATCCCCAGTGATGCAGTAAATCAAAATGATTCAATAAACTTGAAGTAAACTATTTAAAAAAAACATATTTTAAAGCAACACCGTGTCACTGTCACTGATCAACAGCGCCCCCTGCAGCCTCAGGTGGTGATTAACTCTGTTGGTCTCTGTGTCTGAGTGAAAACATAGTGTTGAGCTCCGACTGTGTCGTCCCACGCACTGATCTGAAATATTCCCCATGATCCTCTGCTTCCTGAACCAGAGGAGCTGCTGCTGTAACAAATCCATCGAACTGTTCTTCATGTTCTAAAGTCACCACAGTTACAGAGGACACAGTTTCTCATGTGATCATTTCACTAAGAGGCTGCAGGGACCGCTCCAGAAAATGTTCAGACGAACATCTCACATACAGAACATGTCTGGAACATGTCTGTCTGGGACATGTCTGGAACATGTCTGTCTGGGACATGTCTGGGACATGTCTCTGTCTGGGACATGTCTGTCTGGGACATGTCTCTGTCTGGGACATGTCTCTGTCTGGGACATGTCTCTGTCTGGAACATGTCTGTCTGGCTTCAGTTCAGGAAGCAGCATCAGTGGAATAGAAACAGAACTATGAGCAGAAACAAGCAGGATTCTCTCACCATTGTTTCTGCTCAGTATAAATAGCTCCTGGTCCGTATATGGAGCTTCATCACCTCTCCTCTCCTCCTCCTCCTCCTCCTCCTCCACTGATAGAGGAGGAATGTTTCACCTCCAGCAGGAGTCACTGATAAATCTGACCTGGGGTCTGCTCTCTGAGCTCCATCCTGTCGCTGAGTCCAGGTCTTCAAACTGAACTTGAATCTAAATGAACTCATCGTCACTGTTTCACCAACGTTTGTTCATCTCCGTCCAGCTGCAGGTCAGAACCCAGACCACGTCCTGCAGGGGACGGGAGTGAAACCAGAGGCTCGGCGGCTCGGCGAGGACTCCACCATCGCACCAGAGGATGCCGCTCGTTTCCTCAGCTGCTACTGCTCCGGATATTGTCCTGAAGACGCCACGAACAACACCTGCCAGTGAGTAGAGACAGACAGAGAGACAGACAGAGAGACAGACAGAGAGAGAGAGACAGACAGAGAGAGACAGAGAGAGACAGAGAGAGACAGACAGAGAGACAGACAGAGACAGACAGAGAGAGACAGAGGACCAGTTCAACTCTCTGACCCAACACACACGATGAATGTAACGATGTGTGTGTTCGTCTCCTCAGGACCAACGGTCAGTGTTTCGCCATCATTGAGGAGGACGAGCACGGAGAGGCCATCCTCACCTCAGGCTGTATGAAGTATGAAGGCTCACACTTCCAGTGCAAGGTACACACACACACACACACACACACACACACACGCACACGCACACACACACACACACCGTGTGTAAGTCGTTGTTTGATTGGACGATTGTTTTGATTGACAGGACTCCCCCAAAGCTCAGACCCGGAGGACGATCGAGTGCTGCAACACGGACTTCTGTAACAGAGACCTGCAGCCCACCCTCCCCCCACAGGCGCCCTCTGGTACCGTTGGCTTTGATCAGCTGATTCAGGAGTTTATCAGGTGGAGGTCGACCCTCGTTAACCTCGTTAACCTCGTTAACCACATCGTCTCCTGTTCTCTTCTCCTGTAGAAGGAAGTCCTCACTGGCTGGCGTTCCTCATCTCGATGACGGTCTGCTGCTGCACGCTGATCTGTGTCACCGTCGTCTGCTACTACAGGTTCGACCTCCCCGTCCACCGCTGCTCACTCATCCATTAAACAGACAGAAGCTTTATCTCATTCTGTAAATCTGCACGCGACTTTGTTATAAACACATTTTAAGGTTTTGTGAGACTTTACAAATTATTTCTGACATGACTTCAGTAGATCTGCTTCTAAAATCTGTGTGTGTGTGTGTGTGTGTGTGTGTGTGTGTGTGTGTGTGTGTGTGTGTGTGTGTGTGTGTCAGGTATAAATGGCAGACTGAGCGTCAGCGGTATCATAACGATCTGGAACAGGAAGTCTTCATCCCTGTAGGAGAGTCGCTCAAAGACCTCATCCACCAGTCACAGAGCTCTGGCAGCGGCTCCGGGCTCCCTCTGCTGGTAGGAACACAGTACTGCACCAAGAGGACGCAGTTTTGAACCACAACACAACGAAAAGAGAATAAAAGAGAAAACTGTTGCTGATGCAGTCGTTGGGTTTCTCCTGGAAAACTGCTGAATTCTGCTTGTTGCAGAATAATATCTGAGTCGAGACTTTTTGTTTCCTAGTCAGAGAAAACGTTTTCAAAAGTCATGGTTGTAAAAATGTCAGATCCTTTCTGAATAAGATTTTCTCAGAAACAGAGCAGCTCTGAATATTCTTTCTATCATAATGTTTTATTTATTGATTAATGAGCTGATTGTTTTGTTAAACATCTTCTTTCTTTTATCATATTTAAATGTTTTAAACTCTGGTTATGATCATAAGGTGATTTTTAGAACTCTGTGTTTTCTTCTTTTGTTGTTTTATTTTTAATTAAAACAACAAAGGTGCAGCGGACCATCGCCAAGCAGATCCAGATGGTGCGTCAGATCGGCAAAGGTCGGTACGGCGAGGTGTGGCTGGGCCGATGGCGAGGAGAGAAGGTGGCCGTCAAAGTCTTCTTCACCAGAGAGGAAACCAGCTGGTTCCGAGAGACGGAGATCTACCAGACCGTCCTGATGAGACACGAGAACATCCTCGGTACCGTCACAGTCGTCTCACTCAGCCGGTTTCTTTTAAAAGCAAAGTGTTTCCTCGTCTCTGCTCTGAGTCGTCGTTTTGAATCTTTGAAAAGTTTCACTGAAACAAGAAAATAATGTTCAGCACGAAAATAATATTCTTAAAAGTTTAGAGCAGCGACAAACATCTCGTCAGACTCCGGATCTGATCTGACGATAACGTTTCCTGCGGCGGCTCATCGCTGGAGGTCTCACCTGTCACTCATCTCCCCCCTCCCCCCACAGGCTTCATCGCGGCCGATATTAAAGGAACAGGCGCTTTCACGCAGCTCTTCCTCATCACCGACTTCCACGAGAGCGGCTCGCTGTACGACTACCTGAAGCTGACCACGCTGGACACGCAGGCTCTTCTGCGACTGGCGTACTCGGCCGCCTGCGGCCTCTGCCACCTCCACACGGAGATCTACGGCACGCAGGGCAAACCGGCCATCGCCCACCGAGACCTGAAGAGCAAGAACATCCTGATCAAGAAGAACGGGACCTGCTGCATCGCAGACCTCGGCCTCGCCGTCAAGTTCAACAGGTTGAGAAAATAAACATCGTTAAAGAATAAATTTAATTTTTTATGTTCTGGATGTTTGAAGACGTCACTTTGAATCAAGTCATTTGGTCTGATGACACTTTAAAAGCACAGAGGGGACGTCTTCATTAGCGACGCCTTGTTTTAACGCCACTGATTGTTTGTGTTGCCGTAGCGACACCAACGAGGTGGACATCCCTCTGAGCACCCGAGTGGGGACGAGACGCTACATGGCCCCCGAGGTCCTGGACGAGAGCCTCAACAAGAACCACTTCCAGGCCTACATCATGGCCGACATGTACAGCTACGGCCTCGTCATCTGGGAGATGGCCCGACGCTGCGTCACCGGAGGTACACACACACACACACACACACACACACACACACACACACACACACACACACACACACACACACACAGTCACTTTGTTCCAGAGTTTGTTATGAGTTTCTGTAAAGACACGTCGGTAAAGGTTCTGTTGGGTCTGGGTTCAGGCATCGTGGAGGACTACCAGCTGCCGTACTATGAGATGGTTCCGTCTGACCCGTCGTACGAAGACATGCTGGAGGTCGTGTGTGTTAAAGGGCTTCGACCAACGGTGTCCAACCGATGGAACAGCGACGAGGTGAGACCCAGCGTGTTGGTTTATCATCTTCAACACTTCAAGACGCTGAACGTTCAGTTTCTGTATCTCCACTGTTTGCAGGATTATTTGTAGAGTGCAGTAACGTCACTTCTCCACAAGGGGGACAATAGGTGTTTGTCTGACTGTGTGCTGTCGGTGTTTCCGCAGTGCCTTCGAGCAATGCTGAAGCTGATGTCCGAGTGCTGGGCTCATAACCCCGCCTCCCGCCTCACCATCCTCAGAGTGAAGAAGACGCTCGCCAAGATGGTGGAGTCTCAGGACATCAAGATCTGACCTCGTCCTCGTCCCACCTCCGCCGCCAGATCCATTCTGACCTGGACCGGATCAGACCGGACTGGCCGCCTCAGGCTCGCCCTTCATCACGAGGAGGAGGAGGAGACGTTGGGAGATTTTAAAATAAAGGACCCGTCTCAGGGCTGAACTGTTGGACGCCTCCTCCCTCCTCCTCCTCCTCCTGCTTCAGTCCATCAGCTGGAAACAGATGTGGAGTCCTTCCTCTTCCTCCTCTTCCTGTGCCGCGTTTGACGCTTTCTGTGAAAGCCAAACAGACAATTAAATAATTTTGATGGCGCCTCCTTGTGGAGGGGAGAGGAGATGCAGGGGGCGGGGCTCTTCCTGCTAGTGGATAAAAAGTTTTTTAAGGACCCTCCTCTTCCTCCTCCTCCTCCTCCTCCTCCTCCTCGTCTGCCTGTTTCAAAAAAAACATCGAAATGCCTTTTTATCTGTATTTTAATTTTCTCTTCAGGACTGAGTTCTCCTGCCATATTGAAATATATCTCCACTCTTACAGTAGAGTTTATTATGAAAGAAAAATAAGGTACTATTATAATATGTGAATTTTAACGTGTAAATAAATGTTATCGTTAGCTGCCGTGCCTCCTCATAAGAAGAGTTTAGAAACAGAACACTGCTGCAGTGGTGCTGACGTCCATCCGCCTCCTCAAGAGACGTTGACTGGAGACGATGGAGTCACCGCGGAGACGTCTCCCGTCCTGTCCGTCTGTCTGTCCGTCTGTGTTTCTGTCTGTCTGTCTGTGTCCGTCTGTCTGTCTGTGTCTCTGTCCGTCTGTCTGTGTTTCTGTCTGTCTGTGTTTCTGTCCGTCTGTCTGTGTCTCTGTCCGTCTGTCAGGAGATTACTAGTTTAGAGTCATAAAGAGGCGTCAGCTGAAGTCATGTGACACAAAGGATTCAATTTCTTTTCCAACATTTCTTTAAAAAAAATCTGGTTCAACTGAAAAACTGCAGTACAAGTACCTGCAAGTTTTCCTGGAGCACGGTACGTGAGTGAAGGTACGTTTAGCCTGTTTTACATAGAAAAGGAAAAGTGACCTGATATATCCTGGTTCTTCCCGATCGCCTCGTTCCTCCGAGGTTCAACTTCCCGTCACATTTTGTCCGACTTTTTTAAAAAAAACTTGTAAAAAATCTAAGTAAAACTCAGTTTCTTTGTTTCTGCAGCATCAAAAAAAAAAATCATCAGGAAACTGTTTCTAACTCGTTTTCCTGAAACGTTGTTTTCTCTCCTCAGCAGGACGACGTGCACGTGTTGGCTCGCTGTGCATGTTCAGTGTGTGAGAAGCTAACCATTCATACAGCGGCTATTAAAGAGCAGTAACGTAGTGTTTCCTCTGTATTAAAGTAAATATGCAAGAACAGCCCCAGTATGGAATAATCTCTAATATGTAAATCTCTCATGTTGTTGTTGTTTTGTACAGCATCTGGTTCGGTGCCTTATGAGTTTACCAAGGAAGATGAAAACTCTGTATACAGTCTGTCCAATGTAACGATTTTTAAGTAAATAACCTTATTTTAGTACACAAGCGCTCAGCGTCGGCTCTGATTCTTTCACCTGCTGCTTCTTCTGACTCTTCGCTGGTTCATGGGAACTCACGTCTGAACAGAAAGTTTGTAGAAACAGACCTGAGATAAGTTTAAACACATTTCAGACAGAGATAAATCAAAGTCCGTATTTCATCAAAGTGT